ACTGGAAAGTCATCTTGTGTTTTATTTTGGACGCCTACTGGAACCATCCTGTCCTGTTTTTTGTAAATGTTTTGATATTGTTTGCTGTCTTTGGGGCAGTCAGTAATTATTTTGCTCGTTTATTGGTTTTAGATTTGTTTCGTCCTGGTTTTTTTTTTTTTTAATTTGACTGTGTCTGAGCAAGTAGGCTTTGTGTTCTTTGCTGTTTGTTCGTCTGTGGGCATGATACTTTTCACCTTCTTCTCCAATTAGTAGGGTTAGTTGCTCAGATATTGTACAGCAGGGTAGGTCTTGCTGAAGAGGAGTTCCTGGGATGGGTTGTTTGTGGCACTTACTGCGGCCACCAGGGTGGGTCAGTTATCCGTGCAGGGCAGGTTCCGGTAGGCTGTGCCTGTGCTGCTTGGTGGTGTGATGTTAAGCGCACAGTGCAGGTAGGCAGGATGGAGGGGGGAGTTTGTGATGTGTGGAGCTAAGATGGCTATGGGACAGAGGAGAGAAGAATAGGAGCCAAAAACATACAAACAAACAAAAAGAGTACTAGAGGAGCTTGTGGTTGGAGTAGAGAGATGAGAGACTATGAAATGGAGAAAAACAGAAAAGGGAAGAAAAAAAATGAATAAAAATTAGAAAAAGAAAAAAAAACCTCCCAGGGATCCCACCGTTGGTGGCTGTGAGGTCTGAGGAAGTTGTTCCCAGGTGTTGAGGTACAGCCTGGCTAGAAGGCGTAGAGGTGTCACGCAGTGCCAGGTATTCAGGGGACAGGAAGAGAAGGAAGGTGTAGAGAGACGAGAAACCTAGTAATGAAGAAATACCAAAAGGGAAAAAGAGAGAAAAGAAAACAAATTAAAAAAATAGAACAAGGAAACCCCCCAAAAAAAACGATGAAAAAAAAGAAACACGAGAAAAGAAATGCGCTCAGGGATCCTTCTGCGCGCCTGCGCAAGCTGATGGGGTAGGTCTCAAGCCACGCAGCACTGCCCAGCCAGAACAGGCTCCCAACTCAAGAAAAGAAAAAGAAAACAAAGAAATAATTCAAAACAAACAAACAAACAAAAATCCCCGGGATCCCACCAGCATGGCAGCATGGACCAGGAAGCAGATCCACACACAAGCGGAGCTTCACAGCCCCTCAGTAAGAAACAAAGATGGCGCACGGAGCCAGGTATTTGAGTGGAAGGAAGGGATGGTGGTGAGAGATAAAGAAGAAATCAAAAGAAGCAGAAAAAAGCAATACCAGCAGCCACAAATGGCACTCGGGGAGTTGGCCAGTGGAGGCGGGTGGAATCCAAGCAGCCAGTGCTTCCCGGCCAAGAGACTGTGGCCATGGGAAGCAGAGGAGGCTGAGTTGGGGTAAAGAATGTTGGGGGGGGGTGGGAAAGCGTATGTCGCTGTTTACCAGTTGTTCTGTCTCTTGCTGGAAGCTCCATGAAGGTGCTTTCTTGTACCCCCTTTTCACCGATAGGAGTCCAGGATGGCAGATCCGAGCTGCGTTAGCTGATGGGGACCTCTGCGTGTATGTCTCCTTGCTCTCTGTTGTCTGTCAGTTTCTTATTCCATTTGGTGCTTGGCTGAGTTCTTTATCTCTTCATTTGATGTTTAAGGTTTCAGGATTGCTGTTTTCTCTGTTTGGCTTAGTTTTTCGGATTTTTGCTGTGGAGGGACGGCGTGGTGTTTCTGCCTAAGTGCCATGTTGGTGGAAGACCTCCAGAATGCTTTTATTTAAGTCCAAAGTTCTTAGCCTTTCGCACAAAGGCAAAGTGATTTTAAACTTTTTTTTTAAAAAAGATGAAGAAGAACCTCCCTTTCTTGAATCTAAATGTTTGAAAAGAAAAAGTATTTTAACTGCAGGTTACAAATTTAACAGCTTTATTAGGATTTGGAAATCAGAAAAAAGCCATGGTATGAGAAACGGTTCTTTTCACTCAAGTATATTTAAGTATCTATTAACAGAGTCAAGATACGGGACATCAGTCAACAATTGCTGGTAGTTTCCTCAGTGATTCTTATCTCTTTGATGATATCTGAAACTTGAAAACATGTAAAATGAAGATAAAATACTTTGCTTGTTAAAATGGAAAATTTGAAAAGAAAACCCAAACATCCACTACCGTGGAATTGATTCTGACTCATAGTGACCCTGTCAGACAGAGTAGAGCTGCCCCATATGTTTCCAAGGCTGTAATCTTTATGGACACAGACCGCCACATCTTTCTTCATGGAGCAGCTGGCAAGTTCAAACTGCCAACCTTTCGGTTAGCAGCAGAGCGCTTAATCACTGTACCACCAGGGCTCCTTTAGAAAGAAAGGGGCTTCTTTATCTTGTTTACTCTCCAAAATATTTAGGAAATCTCTTGTCAAGATTAAAGGGATTACAGAATTCTTTAAGACAGTATTTTGAAGTTTAGTAGGTGGAGTCAGCTCTCCACAACTCAGTAATTTTCATAATAATCCATAGAAATACATTTTAACTTTGACCTGTCATAAGCTAGCTAAGTTTTTTTAATGGAGCGATTTTATGATTATAAATGCTGTGAAGGAAATAAAGTTGTGTGATGGGATGGGGGGTTGGGAATGACAATTTTAATAAAATTGTTTTTGAGCAGCCAATTCAAGCAGCCAGTTTATTAAAATTGTCTTCAGGGTTGACATTTGAGCCATGACCGGAATGATAAGGAGCTTATAATGCAGCCAGCTGGGAAGAGTTGGGAGGGGCATGTTCTAAGCAGAGAGAGTAGCAAGTGCAAAGGCCTCAAGCAAGGAAAAGTTTGGTGTATTGGAACAAGATTATTTCTTCTGGATGGGCGGTACTAGAACCTTTGTGTATGCTGGTGGGAAGGATCTAAGAGAGGGAGCTACATGGGTAGGAGGCATGGTTGGAGATTTGAGGAAGTATTAAATAATTATCTCTGAAAGTGGGCTAACTTACTAGGGGTTGGTCATAAGATTGCCAGGCACTATATAAACAGTAAATTGAAGTTTGTGGTTGATATGGATTGAATTGTGTTCCCCCACAATGTGTTGTAAATCCTAACTTCTATACTAGTGATTATAATCCCATTTGGGAATGGGTTGTCCTGTTAGGATAATGAGACAGGATTAGTGTAGGGTGGGTTTTGAGACAGTCTCTTTTGAGATATAAAAGAGATTAAACTAGCAAGCAAGAGAAGCAGAGATTGGGGAAGAAAGCTGCCAAATCACATTAAGATCACCCAGGAGCAGCAGCTCCGAAGATACAAGGACCTTCCTTCAGAGCTCACAGAGAAAGCCTCCTCCTAGGGCCAGCACCCTGAATTCAGACTTCTAGCCTCCTAAACTGAGAAATTTGTTTGTTAAATCCATCCACTTATTGGTATTGTTATAGCAGTACATTTAAGACAGTGGTTATTAATTCGAAATGAAACCAGTCAGTCAGTCAGTCATCCTTTTCTATAGCTTTAATTCCAGACACAGAAAAGGCTGATAGTAAGATTTAACTAGGTGTTTGATCCAGGGAAGAGAAGGGAAGTAATGTTAAAAGAGTATAAAAAAATGATTGATTCAGTGGTCAAAGAACCTGTGCTGGCTGAGGCAAAAAGTGAGGATATGAAGATGTGAAAAATAGTGAAATTGGTGGGAAAGGGTTTCACTGAGGTTGAAGTATTGCTAATAAACTCAGTGAAGCAGAAGGACAGGAGGTGCTACAGTTACAGTAATGACACCGCCCAGGGTGATTCCATGGGAGTAGATGGCTGAGGTTGGTTACGGGAAAAGATTCTTGGAGATGAGGACCTCAAGAAACTAAGAGGCCGTAGGATTAGATTTTTGTTGAAGCCACTAAGCAGTGATGATAGGCATGAGGATGCAGTTGTCAGTGAGCCAAGGCATAAAATCTTTCGTGAAGAAGTAATGGTGGCATTGGTAGGTGACAGCAGTGAAGATGGAGTATCATTCCATATTCTGATGGAAAGGAGCTGAGGGTTTTGAAGGAGAAATGGTTTAGTAGCAGCTGTGAAGGAGAACACCTACCTGCCACCTCTTAGACTAGAAGAGGGCTGCTAGGGAAGCTGTCCTCAGGGCGCTGCTAGGTCTCCATGAGGCAAGGTCAAGGAAGGATTCAGAGATGTAATGTTAGAAAAGCACTAAAATAATTTGATCCAGGATGAGATCATAGCACCAGTGCCTAGAAAGATTGTAGTCACCCTGGTGGTGCAGTGGTTAACAGCTTAGCTGCTAACCAAAAGGTCGGCAGTTCAGATAGATCAGCCGCTCCTTGGAAACCCTGTGGGACAATTCTGTCCTGTAGGGTCTCTATCAGTTGGAATTGACTCGACAACGACAGGTTTGGTGGTGGTTGGTTTTAGTTTTATACCAAAAAAAGGAGCCTTGGTGGTGCAATGGTTAAGCACTCAGCTGCTAACCAAAAGGTTGGCGGTTCAAACCCTCCAGCTGCTCTCCCCCGGACCCGCCAGCTGCTCCACAGGAGAAAGATGTGGCAGTCTGCCTGTATAAAGATTACAGCCTTGGAAACCCTATGGGGCAGTTGTACTCTGTCCTGTAGGCTCACTATGAGTTGGAATTGACTCAGTGGCAGTGGGTTTGGGTTTTTGTTGTTATACCAGAAAAGCCAGACCCTGGGTGGCATGAATGGTTAAGCACTTGGCTACTAGCCGAAAAGGTTGGTAGTTTGAACCCGTCCAGAGGCTCCTTGGAAGACAGGCCTGGTGATCTGCTTCCAAAAGGTCACAGCCTTAAAAACCCTATGGAGTTCTACTTTGCACATATGGGGTTGCCATGAGCCAGTCAACTCACACCACCACCACCAGAAGTCTATGTATAATTCTTATTTTAAAAAACAAAACAAAACCTTTTGTCTAAGATTTCCCAATAAGATTACAAGAATTTTAGTGTGGATTATTCCCACAAATTGGTAGGATTGATAGTTTTTAGATTTTTAGGTTTAGTAAGGTTGACTGTGTTTTATATTAATGAGATCTTAATGATTTTTTTTTCTTTTTAAAAAGATAAACATTGTGAATGAGGAAAAAGTTAACAGAGTAAATAAAGCTTTTGTAGATATACAAAAGGAACTTGCACACTTCTCAAAAGGCCTTTCCCTCGAACCTCTGCAAAAACAACTGGTAAGTAGAAATCATTTGCTTTTGTTATGGCTCAAATACAAATTGAAGGCTAATAAATTAAAACTCCCACTTTTCAAAGCCTTTCAGTTGAATCTAATTTTTATTACTTTGCTCAAAAAACCCAAAAACCAAACCCGTTGCCGTCAAGTTGATTCCGATTCATAGTGACCCTATGGGACAAAGTAGAACTGCCCCATAGGGTTTCCAAGGAGCAGCTGGTGGAGTCGAACTGCTGATCTTTTGATTCGCAGCCAAGCTCTTAACCACTGAAGAAATTAGATAATAGATTATATACAAGTAATTTTTGTTCACTGTTGTTAATCTGAATTTTTAAATGTAGTATTTTTCTCTCTTCAGATTCCTCAGCAGCATCATGAGAATGAACCAGTTAATGTTGATGAGGCTACAAGATTAATGGCTCAGTTGTAATACAGTGGTGATACATCAAATTCCCCCCCAAAAAAGACCAATAAATTTAATGTTTTATACAACAACTTTATTTTTAAAAATCTTGTTAATGTACAGGCATTGGCACATTTTAAAACAAACTACATAAACAGATCTTTCCTATAATCCAGGAAAGTGGAATGTCAGAAGTCAACAAAATGTGATAAAGTGCTAAAACAAAAGGCACTTCACAAAACCTGTTCACTGAAACAGTTAACATGTCCTAGTTTACATCTTTCACTTTAAAAGTGGCAGTGAGTGTCGGGCTGGATTGGAAGAACACAAAGTAGTACGGTTTTGTGGCTGTAAAAATATGACACACAAGTGATGAGCCCTTGGCCAGTAGTTTCGTTTTTGATGACCTGAAGTCGACTTTTAACTTCCCTCTCATAAGAGGGAAAAAGAGAAGGATTCAGAATTGGGGGGAAAAGTAAGTTGAAATCCCAGAAATTATCAGGGGGTAGCAGGTGGCATTAAATCACTCTTTTCCCCTGAAGCAATAAGCCCTTTGTATTTATGGTTGAAGTCTTATCAAGTAAAAAAGAAAGTATTAGGGAAGAAGACTTCACAATCAGTGAACTAAAAAGGTGTTACATTCATTATTTTAAATACTTATGTTATTGAGAAGTCTAAAATGTTACAAAGTTAGAGGTAGATAACAGTCCCAAGTTTCCGTGGAATCTAATAATTTAGTATCTGGACATCAAACAGATCACAGACTCCTTCATTATCATCTAAATTAAAGTTGTAGTCATCTGCCAGAGTAGGAGAAAGCCGTAAGAGAGGGAACACTGCAAGCAAAGAAAAATAAAATGTTAAAGATGGTTTCAACATATAGATAATGTTCAACATAAAATATCTGAAATACTACCAATCCAAATTGTTTCCTATGATGTATATGAATTTTTAGAACTATATAATAGAAAAAAACAAACCCATTGCAGTTGAGTCGATTCCAAATTATAGCGACCCTATAGGACAGTTGAACTGCCCCATAGGGTTTCCATGGAGCCGCTGGTGGATGCAAACTGCCAACCTTTTTGGTTAGCAGCCAAGCTCTTAACCACTGCACCACCAGGGCTCCATATAATAGTGAAAGTAATGATCAAATTACTGACTTGTGGTTTCGTGTAAAGATAATTTACATTGATTATAGGTATTAGCAGAAACACTGGTGGCACAGTGGTTAAGAGCTACGGCTGCTAACCAAGAAGTCAGCAGTTCAAATCCACCAGGCACTCCTTGGAAACCCTATACTGCGGTTCATCTTTGTCCTATAGGGTCGCTATGAGTTGGAATCGACAGCAGCAGGTCTGTACAGGTATTAGCTTAAGAGATAGGGATTAAAATTTTTATTGTCTGAACTTGTCACTAAAATATATAATTCAGGTACACTGGTCAAAGTATTTGATCTGCTCAATAAGCTGCTACTTTGAAAACAAGTATGAAACAGACCTAAGTTAATAGTAAATCTGATATTCTCTGCTTCTACATAAATGTTTAATAAATTCCTAAGTGGTTATTGTACTATTTGCTAACTTTACAGGTATCACTTCCTAGGTCTCTACTATATTTATTAGGAATCAGAACTCTAAATCCAGGAGTTTATAGAAAGGTGAAATGGAAATTTTTTAATTAATTGTCATATTGTAGCTAACAGATTTTCTAAATTTCAGATGAGATGATGACATGGCTATATGTTAGGAATAGTTCAGTGGCTTCGCGTAAGTAGCTTGAAATTGGCCGAGGTGGGAGTATTTATGCCACAGAAATAGGCAAACTACTACAAATCAGGGATTTCTCCCCCAGAGAGCCAGTTGTTAAAAATTTACCAGCACACAGCTGGCTGTATCCCAAGCAGCTTGCTTTCCTGCCTCTGAGAGATCAACAGAAAGGGCAGATAGCAACTTTAGTGATAATATCTTGTGGAGCTACTGAAGAAAAGGCATATCCCGGACAGGTTACTGCTGGTGAAAGTGAGCAGCAGAAAAGGGCTTCTTTCTTTTCTACCATGGTTGGTTTTCTCTATATCCTGCTTTGGTCTGAGTCTGGCTGGGTATTCTTCACTGTCCTAATCTGGAACATGACGTGACCCATGATTTCAGAAAAAAATGAAAACTTTGGAATTCCTGATGACTAAATTTTAAAATAGGCTATACTTTGTAATGTTCATGGACACTGGAAAACTGGTATTTGTTCCTCATCATCATTTTTAAAAGAACCTATCAGTCAAGGTAACCAGCGTTTTGTGTGAGAGGAGCCTTAATCTGGCTCAGACTTCAGCTGGGGTGGGGCCTCCTCTAGACACAACAGTTTTTCCATACTCTTACATGAGTGCTTAGAGAAGAACTAGGCTCACTAGAAGTAATTAAGACTATGGGTAGTGGCTTGTTAGTGGCCACCTTTAGACTAAACCATGGACTATAAATTCCAATTGCAAGACGAGTCAGGCAGGTAACATGAAGGAAAGGCAGAGGGGTAAGGCAGTGTTTGTGTTGACTGGTTCGCTGCTCAGAACTTGTTCTTAGACTGCTAGGATTGTTCCTGCTTTGGGGTTATAGAATAGCATTGTACTTAACTGCAGAATCCTTCAATCCAGACTACATAAAGGTATTTTATTTTCAGAGCACCTTTGTAGCTAACTGAACAAAAATAAAATTAAATCACAAGGCTTTCTGTTTGGATAGTACTTTATACTTTAAACCATTCAAGTACTTTCACATTGCCCCACAGTTAGAAAAAATATTTGAAGCTCAGGAAGACATTTTGAAATTCTCATTCCAACTTTCTCAAGTTTGGGCATTTCACTGTTCAACTTCTACGTGTTGTTCCTATAATGATAAAAATGAGTTTTCAAATCTGTTAATGTAAGCATGTTATTTTCTTCTTGAGCCAGGTTCTTTAGGAGTGAAAAGGATTAGTGTGCCAACAGTTTGGGTTTTATGCAATGAAGGCCAACAAGTATCCCCTTATGGATTGCCTTCCCTCAAAATGGAGAGGCAAAGAAAAATTCTAAAGAATGACTATGATTTACTATCAAGTAATACTAAGGGAAATTTTTCCTGACTCATCATAGTAAATTAAGCAGTTAGAAAATATAGGTTCCTCATTTTTTAAATCATGTATCACTTTTATAAATTCTAGAGAAGTATAATAATACATACTTATACAGTACCTTTTAAACAATATATATAAGGAACCTTTTAAACTACTTACCCTCAGAAGACATTAATTCATCAATGATATCTCCACTAACAGATCCTGCTGGAAACAGAAATATAATAAAGTTTTGTTACTTTTCTGTTTATAGAGACAGTTATATTTAAACACAGGCAGTCAAATCAGCAGCTTGTTGACAGTGCAAAGTTAAAGTACCAGAACTTTGTGGAAAGAAAATATTTTTTATACTGGATAATTTTTTTTTCATAGAATGTTCCAAATTGATATAATAAAAAAATTAAACAACAAAGTATTATCATGAATTTTCTAGTCTTATAACTAAGCTGGAGGAAATCATGAGTTCTCCAAGTTTATACCTAACAGCGAGTCAATTATTCAGTAATAAAGTACTATTCAGTTGGTCAGTTATTCAGTAATAAAAGTACTATTCAATTGATAACAAGAGCAACTTAGTCCAAATATCAATATTTAGGGTGTTCAGGAGCTAAGGTTACTGATGGGAATCAGGAGAACTCAGATACAGTACTATGGGCTCAGTGGTTCTAGACAGCATTGGTAATAAGCCACATTCAGTGATACTTTACTGACCCTCCATTGTGTAGATCAACCTCTTCAAGATAGAATAAAGGCATTACTATAAAGCTGTGGTGCTCATTTTTTTAATTGGGATCCTCTTCCCAATACGTTAGATTATGAAATAAATAACTTTTCCATAGATGTCACAGAAAAGAAAAAACATCTTAAATACACTAATTTGAAAACTGAGGCAACAGTTCAGGACATTTTCACTAAAGGGTATCCAAGTTTATTCAGTTGATTCTTTCTTTGCTTGAAATGAATACAGGACATTGCTATCCTGCACCTCATTGATCTAGGTTATTTACAACGCCTGATAATGTTGGGTTGCAACAATACACATCACCAATTTCTTGTTCTTAGTTCTTGTTTGTAAATTTTCAAGGTATCATTCAGCTATGGGTCAGGCTCCCCAGTTTGCCAATTACAGAAGTTCAGAAGTCTGTGTTTTCAAGATACCTGTATATATTTAAGAAAGAAGCAAAGTATACAAAAACTCCATCAACCACAGGGACAACAGACGGTACTACTATGTCTGAATACAAGTATTGCTGAAGAAGGAAAGGAACATAAACCCAAGGTTCTTCAAGGATTTAGATTTCCCCTTTGGGTTAATTAGGGAGGAAAGTTCATGTTGAGGACTTTTTCTCCCATAATCACCATTTCTCTGAAGGAACTTTGAAATAGGGCACCATTTGCTCTTCTGCACCTTTCTTATAGTGCCATGAGATAAGCACTAGGGTAAGACACTACCAAATCTGATGGTATCCAACAGTGTGAGAGGCATGCCCAAGGTAATGCTTTGAACAACCAAGCCCTCTGTCAAGGCATCTGCTTATTGGGCCAAGACAAATCTTGTTAGGTGCTGTCGAGTTGGTTCCGACGCAGAGACCCTGTGTACAACAGAACAAAACACTGCCCAGTCTTGCGCCATTCTCACAATTGTTATGCGTCAGCCACTGCTGCAGCCACTGTGTCAGTCCATCTCATTGAGGGTCTTCCTGTTTTTCGCTGACCCTCTACTTTACCAAGCATGATGTCCTTCTTCAGGGCCTGGTCCCTCCTGATAACATGCCCCAAGTACATGAGATGAAGTCACACCACCCTCGTTTCTAAGGAGCATTCTGGCTGTACTTCCTCTAAGACAGATTTGTTCGTTCTGGCAATCCTTGGTATATTCAATATTCTTCACCAACACCATAACTTAAAGGCAGCAATTACAGTCTTCCTTACTCATTGTCCAGCTTTCACATGCATGAGGTAGGTCAAAATAACATGGCTTGGATCAGGCGCACCTTAGTCCTCAAAGTGATATCTTCACTTTTTAAGACTTTAAAGAAGTCTTTTGCATCAGATTTGCCCAGTGTAATGAACTGTTTCATTTCCTGACTGCTGCTTCCATGGGCTTTGATTATGGATACAAGTAAAATGAAATTCTTGACAACTTCAGTCATTTCTCTGTTTATCATGATGTTTCTTACTGGTCCAGTTGTGAGGAATTTTGTTTTCTTTATGCTGAGGTGTAATCCATACTGAAGGCTGTGGTCCTTGATCTTCATCAATAAGTACTTCAAGTCCTCTTCATTTTCCGCAAGTAACGCTGTGCCATCTGCATATTGCAGGTTAATGAGTCTTCCTCCAATCCCGATGCTGCATTTTTCTTCATAGTCCAGCTTCTCGGATTATTTGCTCAGCATACATACTGAATAAGTGTGGTGAAAGGATACAACCTTGACGCATACCTTTCCAATTTTAAACCATGCAACATCCCCTTGTTCTGTCTGAACGACTGCCTCTTAGTCTATACACAGGTTCTGCGTGAGCACAATTAAGTGTTCTGTAATTCCCATTCTTTGCAATGTTATACATAATTTGTTATGATCCACCCAGACAAATCCCTTTGCATAGCCAATAAAACACAGGTAAATATCTTTGGTATTCTCTGCTTTCAGCCAAGATCCGTCTGACATAAGCAGTGATATCCCCCGTTCCCACATCCTCTTCTTAATCTGGCTTGAATTTCTCACAGTTCCCTGTCCATGTACTGCTGCATCTGCTTTTGAATGATCTTCAGCAAAATTTTACTTGCATGTGATGCTAAATGATATTGTTCGATAATTTCCACATTCTGTTGGATCTCCTTTCTTTGGAATGGGCACAAATATGGATCTCTTCCAATCGGTTGGCCAGGTAGCTGTTTTCCAAATTTCTTGGCATAGACAAGTGAATGCTTCCAGCATTGCATCTGTTTGTTAAAACACCTCAGTTGGTATTCTGCAAATACCTGGAGCCTTTTCACAGATGCCTTCAGTGCAGCTTGGACTTCTTCCTTCAGTACCATTGGTTCTTGATCATATGCTACCTCCTGAAATAGCTGAACGTCTACCAATTCTTTTTGGCACAGTGATTGTATACTATCTTTTTTTGATACTTCCTGCATTGTTCAATATTTTGCCCATAGAATCGTTCAATACTGCAGCTCAAGGCTTGAATTTTTTTCTTCTGTTCTTTCAACTTGAGAAATGCCCAGTGTTTACATCCCTTTTATTTTTCTAACTCCAGGTCTTTGCATATTTTTTTATAATACTTTGTCTTCTCCAGCCGCCCTCTGAAATCTTCTGTTCGGCTCTTTTACTTCCATCATTTCTTCCTTTCACTTTAGCTATTCTACGTTAAAGTTTCAGAGTCTCTTCTGACATCCATTTTGGTCTTCTCTCTTTCCCGTCTTTTTAATGACATTTTGTTTTCTTCATGTATGATGTCCTTGATGTCATTCCACAACTCATCTGATCTTCCTTTGGTCATTAGTTTTCTATGCATCAAATCTATTCTTGAGATGGTCTCTAAATTCAGGTGGAATATACTCAAAGCCATACTTTGGCTCTCATGGATATGTTTTGATTTTCTTTTAGCTTCAGCTTGAACTTGCATATGAGCAATTGATGGTTTATTCCACAGTCAGCCCTTAGCCTTGTTCTAACTGATATTGAGCTTTTCTATCATATCTTTCCATAGATAAAGTCCATTTGATTCCTGTGTATTCCATCAGCGAGCTCCACGTGTATGTTGTTTAAAAAGGTATTTGCAATGAAGTCGCTGGTCTTGCAAAATTCTATCATGCGATCTCCGGCGTCGTTTCCACCACCAAGGCCATATTTTCCAACTACCAATCCTTCTTCATTGTTTCTAACTTGCATTCCAGTCACCAGTAATTATCAGTGCATCTTGACTGCCTGTCTGATCAATTTCAGATTGGAGAAGTTGGTTAAAAATCTTCAATTTATTCATCTTTCGCTTTAACGGTTGGTGCATAAATCTGAATAGTAGTCATATTAAATGGTCTTTTAGGCGAACAGATATTAACCTATCACTGATAGTGTTGTACTTAGGATAGTACTTGAAATGTTCTTTTTGAAGATGAATGCTAGATACTAAATATTTAACAGTATTTAGGTAGAGGTAAGAGGGGAGAGAGGGCACAACATTGTACCCTGCAACAGGAAGCCCTGGAGTCCACCTAAAGCATGAATCTTTTACTGATGAGACAATTGGACTTCAAAGAACAGCACTTCTTTTGTTCATGCAGAGCACTGTCTTCCCCAAATTGTGATAACAACTGAATTTCTCTAACACTGGGTATACATTTTTTGCTTGTCTGGTACCTTTTCTTCTCCCTATTCATTATTAGCCACCTGAGATTTGGATCATTTTGTGCTCATTACTATTTCACTAGAGGGGTGAGCAGGAGATCAAAGATGAAATTTAACTAGTCCTTAACAAAATTAAATGGTTCTGACAGGTCTAGTGACAAGGAAGCCACTACAGTTACTAAAATTCGTACAGAAGACTCTGCATGAATTTCAATCATGCCCTTATTATTATTTTTTCATGCCCTTATTGTGGAAACTCAGGAGTTGGCTATATTACCTCTGGGGTGAAACAAAATTAGTAAAAATAAAGAAAACGTGATGGATCGTATATCTAGGCTCATCCATTTTAGCTATGTCAAAAGAGTTTGGTTGGAGAACACAATTCCTATTCAAAGGAAGCTGGGGAGTCTTTATTTGAGTTAGTGGACGCTGTGTTACATCTGTTACAAACCCTGAATGTGGAAGGCTAGATTAGGGTGGTGGTGGTGGAGCTGTATAGCTCTGCTGTGAGTACTGTCTTAGATAGTAGAAAACAACTGGACTAGACAATTGTTGTACTCTAGCCAATCTATCCTAAACCCAAACCAGACCCGTTGCCATCAAGTTGATTTGGAGACATAGCAGCCCTATAGGACAGAGTAGAACTGCCCCACAGGGTTTCCAAGAAGCATCTGGTGGATTCAAACTGCTGATCTTTTGGTTAGTATCCAAGCTCTTAACCACTGCACCACCAGGGCTCCAATATATACTAGTGCCAGTGAAATCCAGGACTGGGCATCTGCAAGCCTACGTGGAGATTAAAACCTACTGAAAACTAAGTTAAATGATATAAAAGGCCAGGTTGAAGTAATCTTTTTAAATGGTCATTGCAGTTAATTTTTATCCACCCAAGTGGAAATCTAACTTCTTATGGCATAATTGTTAAGGCAGGAGCAGATAAACTAGTAAGCAAGGTATGTTTACTTACTAATCTGTAGTGAATAGTCACACGGGTTTCACTGCATCTTTGATGTGGTGAAAACAGGTAAAGTTGTGCACTGGAGATTACTAAGTAAGCACAAGTAAGCCCGTGTGTACCTTGCTTATTGGGTAATCCATCCCTGGTTAATGGAGTCAGTTGGAGAGTATCTTTCAAAAATTCAACTGACATTAAGTTTTTCATCCTTACTCTCCTTACCGTCTACTATGGCGCAAAAGAATGGGGTTCTGAGGAGTCTTAAATTTCATCACCTAGAATCACCAAAAATGATCTTTTAGATAAATGAAATATACTTCTAGGTCCTCTCAAGACCTTGAATGAGGCCAACAAGAAACAAGTAGTTATCTATTCTGCCCCCAGTTTCGATTGTACCCCTTCTTCTACAGCAGTACGCTACTGAATCTTTAATCTGGATCATTGCTTATATAAACCAGTCATTCGAAGTTTATTAGTAATATCTTCATGGCCAAAAACAATATTTCCATCCTCATTCTTAACCTTTATAACTGCCTCTTAACCTCAACCTACTTTAGCCTTAATGTTACTTTTATAATTGCATAACTACAAACATCTAGTCTTCAGTCTCCATAGCCCCTAATCTCTTCTGTTTCCCAGGCGATGTACTATCCTAATCACGTTACTTCTGTGTTCACACGTATCCAGTTCTAATTGTGCTACTTCTGTGGTCACAAATCCTCACTGGCTTATCAGATAAAGTTCTAATATTCAAGGCCCTCTCTAATCTGGCCCAAAATTACCTTCCCTACTATTTCCAAATACAAAATAATATACAGATGCTAACTGCTCAAATATTTTTTTAATGCTTTGCGGAAGTCAACGTACTAATTGTGTCTAAGCCAAACATAAAGCTTTTTTCATCCTGATTAGAGTGTAAGCTTTTTGAAGATTATGCCTTCTGTTGTGCATTTCCATGTCCTATAGCATAGAAATACTTATAGAGGAAGTAAAAGAGGGAAGAGTATGGGCAATGAGAAACTGAAAAATATTTCTTGTCCTATTAGATCTTTTGAGCTTCACTTTTAACTGTTACTTCCAAAGGACTAAACTCATGCCACCTTCCAATGACACATCCCAAAGGTAAAACAAGAAATTCGGGTTATATATTATACAGTTTTTAATTATCTGCAATACTACATCTAGATTGACATGACTGATCTATTCAATCATTGAGGGAATACCTCCATGTGCCCTTTATTTGGGATCACTAAGGAGCTGCTAAATACCTAACCACGTATAAGGAAAAAGACTGGGTACCAAGGAAATTGTGATAAATTTAGGAGGCATGGCCTATACTCTTAATGCCCTGTGTTCTGTGGTTTAGCTATTTATCATTTGATTTAAAAAAAAAAATGCATTGCTGTCAGGTTGATTCCAACTCATAGCAACCCTATAGGACAGAGAAGAACTGCTCCATAGGGTTTCCAAGGAGCACCTGGTGAATTTGAACTGCCGACCTTTTGGTTAGCAGCTGAACTCTTAACCACTGTGCCACCAGGGTTTCCATCATTTGATAGATGAAATAATTTAGGAAGGCAAGATTTCCTAAATAATTGAAATTGAGAGCATTTATCAACTCTATAAAACTGAGCTTCCCAAATAAAAAGTGTAACACTAAAGAATACAGAGAAACGTGAAATACAAGTCACTGTGTTCTACACCAGTTTGATTTTTTTCTTAAAGATAGAACACATTTCAATAGTTTATCCTAATTTACTAAAGAGGATTAAAAAAAACTAACAAGGTAAACTTCAGGTAAAAGCTGACATATTTAAACAGTAAAAGGAACAAATTCAGCTTAAGCCAAACGAGTAGTCTTCAAGGAGACATGGACTGCCTCTTAACTTTGTCATTCATTTATTCCACTAATACCTACTCTGACCTCAGTAGTTTCTTTGGGTTTTATTCAGGAAAGAGTTTCTTTTCTTATTTTCTTAAGGAGAATAACATTACTGAAAATAGATCCCAAGGAAAAGAGCTAACCTTGGCCCATAAAGATCTTTTCCTTCCTCTGCAGTCATAATTCTAGACACAATCTTAACCATACTATATTGTATCTGATTATATATTTCTGTGAATTGTGTGTATTTGTTTCTATACGTATATTCTGCTTATGAAACAAATCTGTAGTAATATAATTTAGGATAGGATCTGTTTTTAAATTTTCCTCATAATACCTATCCCAGTGCTGGACATAGAGGAAACCCTAAATTAACTACTTGCTGATTAAATTAAGCTTACTATTTTGCTTTCCTGTATTACATACTGGAAATAATAATGTCACAACTGACAAATTCAGAAACTCAACTGCCAGCTTGTTTAATGTATTCATATTCCCCTTCCCTCTCTAATTTTTAAAACAAAGGCTCTAAACGCACCTGAAGATAAGTCTGTAGCTGGTATCTGCTGAAGATTCTGGCTTCTTTCAGAGACATGTTGCTCAGGCAGATTCTGAGTTGCTGTGTTGGGTCTCTGCGGAGTCACAGGTGTCGAGGGCTGAGAGGAAGGTTGTGTGAGGTCATCAGGTGGGGGAACAGGAAAAACCACAGGCTTAGAGGAACTGGATTCTTTATTTATAAGCAGCACATGGATAGGTCCTGAATGACTCTTTAGATTGATCTGGTATTTCTTTTGTCCATTTTGGCCCTTTGAAGTTATTGGGTATAAACAAATGAATAAATATTAACATTTCTTGCTACCTTGAAACTTGGTATTATATTAAAAAATAAGACATGCAAAGCTGTTTGGGACTAACTAAAACTCACACAACAAAATGAAGTCATCAAGTTAAAACACAAGAGGACAGAAAAGGATATTGAAAGCTCTAAAATATTTGCCTCTAAAAAAGTAGGCTTTTCTCAAATGCAAATCATCAAAAATTCTCAACTGTAGAATTCTGGCAACCATCCATTCTTACTGTGTATAATTATACATGCCAGTGCTCAGCAATGCTTCAAGCATTCTCCTACATCTAGACTACATCCTCTAGAGTTGGCTACCATGGGTGTGATTATTGCAACAAGCTGACTTAATCAACAACTATTTTACCACAAGTTAAAACTCTTTTTATTTCCATCCAGCAAGCACAAATACAGCTGATTTTTTCCCTACAGACAAATAAATATAAAATTTTTTCATTTCAAAAGAGTAATTTATACTCTGAGGCTTCAGAATCCAGTAATATAAATGCCTACATCCAAACTTCTAGAATAGCTGAGGGAGAAGGAGAAGATAATATAGTAGTCTTTGGTCTGCTATAGTTTTAATTTCAGTTTATTTTGGAAAATTTGAATCCGAAAACACAAATCTTGAAACTTATATATAGCATACGGTCAATCAATCTTTTTGACTGAAAAGGCCAGAAAATGTTTTTTAAAAGATCCAATTTAAAGTAATCTAGTATGTTGATATTAAACTTTTTCCTCTCCTCAGTCAGGATGTTTATATCAGTTAAAATATGGTCATTTTAACAGATTTTTCAAGTTTATTAACTATATCATCACCCATTCCTTGACAACTTCTAGCTCAAAATTTTTTAAAAACTTTAAAACCAATGTTAAATGATTCAGTCACTTCCCCTATAATTTTACCAAATATTGAAGAAATCCAAATTCAGATATCAGCACTTTCAGATTAATAACTTGAAAGCAAGAACTTGGAAGTGTTTACACACAATTAGCTGATGTTCAGAAGGAAAAAAAAAATTGTCCCTCCTGAGACAGTAAATCCATTTTTCCCACTTACATACAAAAGTACCCTACATACCATTTCTGGAATAGGTACCTCCAGCTGTGTACCAGAAGGTGCTTGAATGGCCAAAAGTGTATCACCTAGTTTAAAAAAAAAATCCAAATTGAAAATTTTAGAAAATACTATTGATCATGGAATATAGTGGTTAGGGGGTGGGCTCTGGAGTCAGAAGACTTGAGTTTGAATCCCAGGCTACTAGCTAGGTGACCTTGGGCTTCAGTTTTTAATTCTGTAAACTGGAGGTAGAGGTTGCGGGGGTGGAAATAACCTACTGCATAGATTTGTTTTGAGGATTAAATAATACACGTATTAGTAGTTCTTAGTATTGTTGTTATTGTGTGCCGTCAAGTAGATTCCGACTCATAGCAACCCTATAGGACGGAGCAGAACTGCCCCATGGGGTTTCCTAGACTGTAAATCTTTACAGGAGAAGAATGCCAGGTCTTTTATCCCACAGGGTGGTTGGTGGGTTCGAACTGCCAGCCTCTTGGTTAGCAGCAGAGTTCTTAACCTCAGTGTTGGCTTTATTATTCTCATTAACAAATTAACCTCAAATTATTTAGATAGCTTCAGTCTGGTGAAGTCTGAGAGTCTTAAAAATTTTATTTTAATAAATTAAACAACATTGTTTACTTGAACTATTTGAACTACTTAATGACTAGAGATAATAGCGACTATGTATAAACCAAAAAAAACCAAACCCGTTGCTGTTGAGTCGATTCCAACTCATAGCGACCCTACAGACTAGCTATGGTAAAGTAAAATCTTGAGTTAAAGTACACGTATTTTTGAAGCAAAATTCTACAACAATCCATTGAATTGCAGATTAACAAAACTTTCCCAAAACATTCTTAACAAAGGTCAGGTGATATGGCAAAGTAGACCAATAAGGCCACACATATTTTCAACATCATCTTAGAGGGAAAGTCAGATTCCACTTGAAAAGGCACTTGACAGGAATTTTTGTATGCGTATAATACACAAGGCTGTCCTTTTAATAGGACCGGCATAATTAAATATAAATGTATACGCAAATTTCATTTTATTGTGTTATGATCACGGGAATACAAGTCCCCTTTCTCATTTTAGTTAGTCATCAGTATATTCTATTGTCATTTCAAGGGGAAAAGATCGGGGCAGAGGATGGAACAGAATTAAAAATAATTTTCCAAGATATAAAATGGGTTCACCTAACTCTTTGGGTTCTATTTGTGACCATACACTTGCATATAGTTGATGGAACAGCAGCTGATGAGAACCATGTTGTAGCTCAGTTCAGTTACCGACTGTGACTTTGAGACTGTTGATTAATCCCTCTCTGATTTAGCTTCCCCTAGCTCAACTTGACGGCAACGGGTTTGGGTTTTTTTTTTTTTTAGCTTAGTAGTTGGTTAAGAGCTCACGCTGCTAACCAAAAGGTCAGCAGCTAGAATCCACCCGCCACTCCTTGGAAACCCTATGGGGCAGTTCTGCTCTGTCCTATAGGGGGGCTCAGTTGGAATCAACTCAATAGCATACAACAACAACAACAAGCCTTCCCCCAAGGAGCCCTTGTGGTGCAGTGGTTAAGCTCTCAGCTGCAAACCAAAAGGTTGGCAGTTCGAACCCACTAGCCACTCCATGGAAGACAAGATGTGGCAGTCTGCTTCTGTAAAGATTACAGCCTTGGAAACTTTATGAGGCAGTTCTCCTCTGTCCTGTAGGGTCGCTATGAGTCAGAATAGACTCAGCAGCAATGGGTTTAGCGTCCCCCCAACACACACACATTCTGTATCTACCAATGGAGGCAAATGTGAAAGCTGTGAAAAGCAGTTATTGTCATGAAAACAGAAACGAAAGCAGCCTATCAATACACAGCACTGTACAGTGAGACAAAATGTCCACAATTACTGAAAATTAATGACTTCGTGTGAGTTCATGGGGAATTTTGAATCACTCTACATTAATCGGTTGATCAGAGGAAGAATCTAAGAAAATATTTACTAACAGTACTTACCATTAAAGCAATTACAGATGTCTTCATGAGTTACATAGGAAAATGTACTGTCATAAAAAGTTAAGGAACAGCATTTATATCAAAGCCTAGACATTTAAATTAAGATGATAAATCTTAAGGCCAAAATAAACAAAATGACAAATGCATGAATGGGCTACCACACATGGTCAGATAAAAACAACAAAAAACAGAACTCTTCAGTCTAGAAAGGCAAAGACAATCAGATAAAGGTCCATAAAATGAGTACCCATACTTTGAGAAGAAGCCACTTCTGATTTCTGTGGCATCTTAGGACCATAGGGAGAGAAATGGCACATGGGGAACATTCCTCTTGGAGGCAGGGGCTTCTCGGAGAAGGGGTATGGATGGGGAAAGGAAGGCTACCCTAGGAGTGGATGGCAAGCTCATACACCGCCACACTGAGAATCTTCTTGGGTCATAGTTTGGGGAATTGGGAGTGGCCAGAATCTTAGAAGATAATGCAGCAAAGTCAAAGATCAACTAGTTCATTGGTTTTTGGACTTGTTCACCAAATCTAAGGCAACATCAAAAATAAGTTATAGTATATACACTTAGTCAAAAATTCAAGGTGGTACAAGATGAAGTTAAAAGGTTCCATAAGAGTGCTGATAAGTTCACAAATCAAGAGAATACTATACAAGTATCTAAAAGAAGACAGTGATTTGTAAGAAATACATGGAGTATATCACTTGTTTTTTCTCGTCAATATAATATGATAGATACACAAGCCTTGGATCGACACTCTGTAGTTGGTACTGTCTTTAGCTTAATATTAGGCAGAAAGTATCTCTGGAAAAGCATCTTGGATTGATTGTGGGCTCATGGTATTTCATTTTCAAACCAAAATTAATTTTTGAAAACATTGAGAGCTGCTGAATTTTAACTTTAGAACAATGAACATAATTATTTAAATATGCCTCTACTAACAGTAACTGCACTTACAATGGTCTAGTATTCAGACCTCTAAGCCCACTTTTGGCTAGCATATTGCATCCTATCAGTTGGTAGACAGATAAGTAGATGCATCTTTTTTTCTCATTTCAATGTAGGAACAATATTAATGGATGTACCATATAACTTAAAGAGGTAAATATTTTAAAAATTATTAGAAAAATATTATAAAATTAAAATGTTATATTTAAAAACTTGCGAGGTGGGGCCAAGATGGCAGAGTAGTCAGACACTTCCAGTGGCCCCTCCAACAACACAGACCCGAAAAAACAAGTGATTTGATTATATATGACAATCTGGGAGCCCTGAATATCAAAGGCAAAGTTGAAGAACCAGACTGAGTGGCAGGGGGAGGGAGAGACAGTTCAGAAGCAGCGAGGAGGTACCAGACCTGACCTGGCAAAAGCCTAAAACCTTCAGGCCTGATCAGCTCGGGGGTAAGCGGTGAGGCAGGCAAGCAACAGTGCTCGGGAGGCGTATTCAGCACAGGGAGAGACCCAGCTGCTGAGAGTCTACTCAGCCATGCAGAACCAGTGAGAAGCAGCCTTCCATCACTGAAAGATAAGTATTTGTGTCCAGCCTACCATGGAGATCAAAAAAAACCCTCCAGGGAAAAACCTCTCTCCCATTTACCTCCCCACTCCCTGCTCTGCACTGGGTCCCAGACTGGCTTCAGGAATTGGCGAGTCCCCTGGGCCAGAAGTAGGATCTGTTACATGCCCTAAGGCATGCTCCTAGCCTTGGAGAGTGAACAAATTAACAAACAGGAAAAATATAAGCTGCCAGCTCCCCTAAGCCAGGAACTCAGGGTAGGCACAGCTCCTTCGCCTAGACACAGGCATAACGGATCTTATGTGCCTTTCTGCCTGCACAGACTAATGTGGGCCCATTTCAACAGCATAAGCCCTCATTACCGCAGTGCAACAGGGTATGTACCTTAAGTCTAACTTCAACTGTTTCAGCTGTGAAGTGGCAGCTTTGTGACATTTGACACTGCCCATTAAGCAGGGTCTTCACCTGCCCACGTCAGGGGCCTGAGGACTGGTGGCTCTACCCACAACACCTAGCCACCTGTGATAGAGGCCCAAGAATAAGAGGTGCCGCCTAGTCCTTACAGCAAACAACATTGGGTGCTCATAGTCCAGCTGCAAAACCCACCCACTAAACGCACTCTAGGGAACGGGGACACGCCTACCTCCTGGACACTCGGGGGTGGCCATCAGCCCCCTGCCTTACTCAGATGCCTGTGCCTACGCCAATCATCCATGCCTGTCTAGGACTGTAGGTGAGAGCCTGTACCACACGGTGGCTGTCTACCTGGGCACCTGAGCTGAATCCATACAGGAAGAGAGGGCAGACTCCAGTGCTCACATACCTAGTAACAGATCTAACCACCTGGTGACAGGGCATTAGAGCTTCAAAGGTGTGAATAATCAAACTAGCTCCCACGAGCAGCCTATTTGGGAATATCAAAACAAAAAGCTAGGACATACTAAGCAAACATAAATAAATATAATAACTTACTGATGGCTCCGAGACAACAGTCAATATCAAATCACATAAAGAGGCAGTCCATGATGGCTTCAGCAAGCTCCCAAAATGAATCTAGAAATTTTCCAGAATTGGAATTGGAATTACCGGGGGCAGAGTACAAAAGATTAATATACAGAACTCTTTAAGAGATTAGGAAGGAAATTAAGCGAAACACAGAACACACAATAGAGGAAAGTAAGATTAGAGCATAATAACATTTAACAGGCTGCAAGAATCTCATAGAGACAGCAATCAGAAATCCAGAAGATTAACAATAAAAGACAGACAACAGAAAGTCATAGGAGCAGAATTGAGGCAATGGACGTCAGAATTAGTGAGACTGAAGATAAAGCACTTGACACCAAATTATTTGAGGAAAAATCAGATAAAAGAATTTTAAACAAATGAAGAAACCCTAAGAATTATGTGGGATTCTATCAAGAGGAATAATCTACGAGTGACTGGAGTACCAGAATGGGGTGCGGGGGGGATAACAGAAAATACAGAGAGAATTGTTGAAGATTTCTTGGCAGAAAACTTCCCTAATATCATAAAAGATGACAAGGTATTGATCCAAGATGCTCATCAAACCCCACATAAGGTAAATCCCAAAAGAAAGTCACCAAGACATAATCAAACTTGCCAAAACCAAAGATAAAGAGAGAATTTTAAGAGCAGCTAGGGATAAACGAAAAGTCATGTACAAAGGAGAGTCAATAAGAATAAGCTCACACTACTCAGCAGAAACCATGCAGGCAAGAAGGCAATGGGATGACATATATAAAGCCTTGAAGGAAAAGAATTGC